CAAGCCCTGACAAAGGAGAACATGTACTGTGTTAAAATCTATTGTGGCACAAAACTCAAAACTGGCCCCTGGGCAGGTTCATCAGTTCAATACCTATATTCTCTAGTTCAAGTTTATTCAATGTGGTCTTAACAGGCTGTTTCAGACTACTACAAGATGAGTACTCTGATCATTTCCTTCATCAGTCTTGGTTCAAGTCAGTGAAGCAGATGCTTCTAGTCTAAGTCTTCTTACTAGTAATATAAGGGTCAGAATAGTGATCATGCAAACTTCTTCTTTGTAGCTGTAAATCGTTCCATGTACTACAAAGAAAACAGAAAAAAATCTATTATTTTTTTTTAATTAATAGAGGATTCATTACTACTAAAAGCAGCTGAGCTTCTGCTCTCAGACTCAAAAACATTCTGCATCTAAAGCACATTTTTATATGCCAGGCATAGCTATTAGAGCTTTAATTTCAAACAAAGACCACCCCAAAACCTTTCTGACCTTTGCTGCAATTCAGATTAATGGTCAGATCTCCAGTGTTAAGGATGAACTAATATTAAATACTTAGCGAATGCTGTATCATTCAAAGCATCCCTTATATTTTGTTGCATCAAAGTGAAGACACACTTGTCATAATTAGCTGCCCTTCAAAAGATGCTGATGAAAGAACACTGACCCTGAATCCTACAAGGAAGTTATCTTTGAAGAATTCCTGGAGATGTTTTCAGAGGTTAGTTATGAATCCAGTAGCTATGACACCACCAACAGACTATTTGGTGCTTTTATTCACCAGCATAAATGTTTAGTATTCTGAGTAAGGGCTTCACCAGCATTTTCTTAAAAAAAGACAAAAAACCCCAAAACAAAACACAAACCTTGTCATAACCTTCCAGTTCTCTGAGTTTCTTGATTTCAAAGAGGTTGCCTTCTACTGCAAGCAGTGAGATCTGGGAATCACTGAGAATACTCTGAGGCAGCATGCTGAGTTCTAGACAATTTTCTTCTAAACGCAAGACTTTGAGGCGTGGACAGTGGGAGATCTGCACTGAGATCTGGGAAATCTGTGGAAATAAAAAGAAAGAAAAATGGGATTAAAATGGTAGTGATCCATGATTATTAAGTGATCTGTTTCCAACTTACACAGACCACCTACCATACTGTAAATATAAAGTACATTAATAGCAAGTACTTAAAAGCAATGCATAAGTAACAAATTATCAAAAATCAAAATAACTTTTTCTATTCCATGATGACAAGCAACCTACACATCTCTTTATCACATTCCTACTCAAGAACTGTTCAAATAATTTTCTGCTTGACTAAATTCAGGATTTTTTTGTTCACCAAATCAGGCAGTTGGATGTATGATTCCTCATTTGTTTTGTGTCCAGGAGATGTCTTTAACTATAAAGTTTTGATGGTCTCATCTTATGTTCCCACGGCTGTACTAAGTCCTAAATCTACATTCCCACAACATCTGTTACCAGACCTGATTCTGATTCAAATTGAGTTCGATAGCCTGCAGCTCTCCCACAGTGTCAGGGACATTTTGGATCTGGTTTTTTGAAAGATCTACCACATCCAAATGGCGAAGACCAGAGAGTTGTGTAGGCACAGTCCGAAGCTGGTTTCCAGAAAGGCTCAGGGTTTTGAGAGCTGAAAGTTGTCCAAATGCAGCCGGTAGCTGCCTCAAGTGATTTCCATTCAAGTGGAGTGTTTCCAGTTTTTTCAGTTTACACAGCTCCTCAGGTAAAGCAGCTAGAGAAAAATGACAGAAAAACATATGAGCTAAAAAGCAGTAAACATTCATACTTATTTAATTAAAATACGCTTCTGCAGAGAGAAGAGTGCTATATTAAGTAATTTCTCACTACTGAATTCATCCCCAATTTCCAGTGAAGGCACAGATCCCTGCACAGAAACTTAAGCCCACAGACAACACATGCTTCTCAACCATCATCCATAAATGTATTAAAATAATCTGCAGACAAGGCAGAACTCCAAGTCACAGTCTGAAATCACTGTTCAAAAGATTTTAACCTGTCAGTAGTCCTTAGTAACCTTCTGCCAGCATGTTCTCTGACACTTGAAACACCACAAAATTCACAGGTTAACCTTTGCCCTTTAAAGGTATTACTCAACTTATAGAAATAAGTTAGGAGATAATTCATACGATGTCATACCAGCATAGAAACATCACCAAGTAAGGTCTGCTGGCATCCATTCATCCCTCTTTACACCTACACATGTATATAACCTCTAACACTCCTGAGCTGCACTGCAGAGTCAAGCAGGTTTGTAAATTATGTTTGTTTTTTGAAAAAGGCAGATAATGCATAATTAATGCATAAAACCCCTAGTTTCTTCATTGTGGTTTTTCCATAATGATGGATGCTTGTTTAACAGAAACAATAACAACAGCTGAATGGCCAGCAACACTGTCTACATGTCATCTTCATTAACTGTTCTCTAGGCAAGTACTAAACCATCTGGCACTGTTAAACACTCATGTCAGGTTAAGTCACAGCACAAAACCTCTATAGGCTTAAGTACTCATGTGTCATTGAAAAACTGATAATATGCTAAGTGGCAACAACTAGTTTTGTAGAATTATGATTTAGAGGTTTTTATCCTGCACCTGAATTCCAAAGATTTCAGCTTAGGTGACTAAACTCCCCATTTACATCTTGTGAGAGTTAAATAATTAAATTTAGTTTTTGATAGAGAAAATGAGTTATTATTTTAAAAATCAGTGGAGATATTAATTAGGAGGCATACTCAGTTTGTTGTTGTTCAGAGCAAGGCTCTTCAATAAGGAAAATTTTCCAATGAGAGGTGGCAAAAGCTCTATTTTGTTGTTCGACAAGTCTATTGTCCTTAAGTTGCTTGTTAGCTTCTGGAGATCTTCAGGAAACTATTGGGGGGAAAAAGATACAGCATTTAAAGAGTTGATACAAATTTGAATGTTTAAGTTGTACAGTTAAAATTTTAATTGTCTCACTGTTAAATACTGTCATATGTATCACAGTGCCCAATCACCACAGTGTGATTAGCAAATTTATTTAACACATTTTTTTTTTTTTTTTTCATCTGGGGAGGGGAAAGGGGGTATAAAGAAAACACTAACATCTAGAAGCAGTAGTTTTTCATCCAAATAACTAAAATTTTAGATATTACATTTTCATCCTCTTACCTGCTCCTCTTAAACATGCCTATCATTTAAAATATTCTATAGCCAGTTAATAACTCTATATTTAGCAGAGTATGATGTGAAAATTTTTCTCCTGCTTTCCTTTTTAAATAATTATGTATACCATTTTCATTATTCTTATTTACATGCTGTACCACTTTGGTACTGAGTCTTGGCACTCAGGTGAATAAAAGGAAAATCTGACAATCACCATCAAGGAGTCCTGGTGAATAAGCCAGTGGTTTTGATCCTCCTTTGGCTTGACAGAGAAAAAGTGAAGAGAGGAGGTAGGACAGTGGAAGAAGGTATGTTAGAAAAGGCTTGGAAAGTTACTGTAATATACATTTATTTTTGGGTCCACAACAATTCTGGGTTTTTTCTGCAGTTGAGTCTTAGTTAAGATAATTTCCAATATAATAAACTTTCAGGATGCTTGCTGCCAGCCCAATGAACAGCCTGTACAAACTATTCATATGGCTACAACTAAACACACTATAAGTGCCACCTAAATGTGACAGATTGTGGAGTATCTTTCTAAGTTACAATACGGTTATAAAATTTGTATTTTCCCCCTCAAGTTTACAGACATCCTCTAAAAGCACAACATCATAACTAGTATTTCTTGAACATATTTGCACTGTAAAGCATACTCATACAAGTGCCCTGACAGATAAATCTTCAATTAGAAGACAAGTCAAGCAAGAACAGGAAAAAAAAGCAACTTGAAATATTTTTCATGACTGTTTATAAGAAATACATGTATCTAAGTGCATTAAAACAACAAGTGGGAATTTTTCTCTGAAAGTGTCAGTCATACACACAAACAGCCGTGTTTCCCCTCCCAGTACATTACCTCAGTAAGTCCCTTTCCTGTTAGCTGAAACACACCAGTTTTCTGCGCTGTCTCCAGGTGGGCTTTCAGTGCACTATTTCCCATCGTAACAGTTCTCTGTCGAGCACACAGAGGTCAAGTGATGGTGTCATCCAGTTTTACTCTGTGCTAGAGAACGGCAATCCAAAGTCTCTGTGATAAAGCAAATTAAAAAGTCATTTTATGTGCACTGTCCACAACGCTACAAGCACTAACACAATGAACAATTTCACTACTGTGCTTTCACCTCCCTCATAACTAAAACCTAGAAGTCTAAAGGTTTACCTAGATTAAGATATCTTCCCTACAGCAGTTTGATTACTGAAACTATGCAACAAGCACAGTTAAAACTAGGTGATAAAACTGCACATTTGTGTATTTTCCCTCTTTCGAGGCCCCGCAGCGTAAGGAGATTCTCCACGGAGACCGGCTGTGATTTCTGTGGCATCTACCAGCGTGGCCTGCCGTCACATCTACTGTTTTATTTGGGTTTTTTGAGACCTGTACTCTAGAGAACAGACTCCTCTGCCGTGCCTATTAGCGGACAGCCACCTCCGGTAACCCCAGCGGGGTTAAATCCCAGGGCGCACGGGTCACGGGCCCGGGATTAAAGCCGGGCTCGCAGCCGGGCGGTGGGAATGAAGCCTGGGGACAGCACGTCAGCAGCCGCGGCAGGAGATGCGCTCCCCGCCGCCGCGGGCCCCCGGCAAGGGGCGAGGCCAGCCCTGACCCGCAGCAGGCTGCGGTCCCCCCGCCCAGCCCCGCCCGGCTGCTCCGGCCCCGACCCCCGCAGCGCCGGGGGCCGCCGGGCCCGGCCCGGCCCAACAAACCAACCTGTCAGGGCGCCGCCGGCAGACGCTCCGCGGCGGCGGAGCCCCGGCCCGTCCCCCGCGCTCCGCCCTTCCCTTCCGACCCGCCGCGCCCGCCCGGAACCGGACGCGTGTCAGCGCCGTTCCTGCCACGCCCGCCATGGCGGCCTCCAGGCGCTCCCTGACCCTCCGGGACACCGGGACCGCGCCCGTGGCGGCGGCCGGGCCCGGACCCCAGCCCGAGCCATGCGGGGCGGGCAGACCCGAGTTCGACTCCGATTCCGAGCTGGAGCTGGAGCTGGAGTGCGACTCGCGCCTCAGCGTGGAGAGCGATGAGGAGCCGGGCGGCGGCGCGTCCTGGCCCCAGCAGCCCGGGGAGCGCTCGGCGGTGGCCGCGCTGCTGGAGCGGTGCGTGGCGGCGGGCACCGTGAGCCAGGTACCGCGGGGCGGCGGGCACCGTGAGCCAGGTACCGCGGGGCGGCGGGCACCGTGAGCCAGGTACCGCGGGGCGGCGGGCAGCGCTGCTGGCGGCAATGGGGCGTGCCGCGGAGCGCGGCAGAGCGACAGCTTTAAACTACTGCAAGCCATTACAGAGCATTTGCCCGGTACGTTCTTGCTTCTGATTGCATTTTTCCTGTTGTCTTACTTTCAAAGGAGACCTTGGATTTGACTTGCAGAAGAACGCCATGCTTTGCAAAATTCTCGGAGATGGACGAAATGGTCAACATGGAAGCTGAAATCAATGAGGTACAGCGTTTACTATTGTCAGTGTACGCTCAACACTTCAATACCCGGAGGTATACAGGGCCCCGATGAAATACCAGACTGCCACAGCTGTTCAACAGTTGCCATTTTTTTCCCCAGTGGACTGGGTTGTCATAAAGAAAACAAAACTATGAAACAAAATTCAGGTGTAAATAGAAGGATTCAGTAGGCTGCACCTTTGACTAAAGTGAAAATTTACCTGAAATTTTTTCAAGAAACTGAACAATAAAGAAGAACTTATAGTTGACTTCAGTATACAAAAATGTGTCTCTACAGGCAATTTTGTTGGTCTCAGACATTTTGTACTGCTTTAATCAGCTGTTGCCCTGTATTTTGTAATGTTGGTTTAGACACTATATAGACTATGAAACTGCTTTATAAGACATGTAAGTGGGCGAGACATGGGTTTGAAGAGTAGACTATTCAGTGATTAAGGAATTGGCAGGAGAAGAGCACCAAACACAGCAGAAGGATGGGATGCCATCCACAGGGACTGGGCAAGCTTGAGAAGTAGGCTCACAAGAACCTCATGAGGCTCAGCAAGACTTAATGTGGGGTCCTGCACCTGGGTCAGGGCAATCCCAGACATTAGTACAGTCTGGGAGATGAACTCATTGGGAGCAGCACTGTGGAGAAGGACTTGAGGTTTCTTGTGGATGAAAAGTTGGACCTGACCCAGCAATATGCAGTCATAGCCAAGAAAGCCAACCACATTCTGGGCTGCATCAAAAGCAGCAGGGCCAGGGAGAGGATTCTCCTCTTCTGCCCTTGTGAGGCCCCACCTGGAGTGCTGTGTCCAGGTCTGGGATCCTCAGGACAGGAAAGAAGTGAACCTGTTGGAGCAGTTCCAGAGGAGAGCCATGAGGATGATCCAAGGGCTGGAACACCTCTCCTACAAAAACAGACTCAGAGAGCAGGGATTGTTCAGCAGCCATCTGGTACTTAAAGGGGGCTTAAGAAAAGAGGGAGAGTGACTTTTTCCACAAGCAGAAAATGCTAGGACAAGGGGGAATGGGTTTAACTAAAATAAAAGAGATTAGATTAGATTTGATTTTAGGAAAAAATTCTTTACTATGAGGGTGGTGGGACACTGGGACAGGTTGCCTAGAGAAGCTGTGGATACCCCATCCCTGAAGGTGTTCAGGGCCAGGTTAGAGGGGCTCTGATATCCCTGCCCATTGGCAGGGGCTTGGAACTAGATGATTTTTTTGGGCCCTTTCAACACAAGCAATTCTATTGTAAGTTCGGTGGTTTAGGAATGAATTGCAGGATCTGTCTTTTCCAGCACAAATCTCCAAATTATTTAGATTGGTCTTTTTAAACAGTCTTTTTCTTATTGACCAAAAAAGCCCCACCTAGTAGTAGAAATTCTCCAGAGAGCAGGGCAACATGTTCTTGTGCTAAGTGCTCACTCTCTTTCACATACTTGCTCTACCTATGCTGCTACTTTCTCCTTTTTTACTTCCTCCTCCACCCCAGGAGAGTCAGCAGTTTCTGGATAAGTATGTTGAAAATGCATTTTCATTTGATGTTATTGGTGTTATAGCTAAAACTGAAAACTGAAATGATGCAGTTGGAGAATGAGACAGCAGACATTACTCACCATTTTTACTTAGGTAAGTGCAGTTGTACTATAGAAAACCAAGAGCCTTAAATTAGCAGCAGATTAATGTTTCATCTGAATACATGACAGTTCTAGAAGTTATTGCAGCAGTTATAACTGAATAACTGTTAGAGGTGGTAGGTGTTTTATAAACACCTAAAGCATGTTTCCATACTATTTGAGCTTGCACTCTGCTCTCTCATAGAAGGTCTGTGTGTAACTCGTTCTCCAAAAGTGTGGGAGGTGTGGTCAGCTCCCCAGGGTCAGTGCATCATCAGTTCTGAGATCATCAGTAACCGTTGACCTGCATGTGCTACTCTGCTTCTTTTCCAGAAACTCAGTGTATTTCTGTTGCATCTCTATTCCCCCAAACTTACTACATTTTTAGTTTAACAACTGGGGAGTACGTTCATAAATTTCTTTATTTTTTCACACTCTGTCCACTATGATTTTGTGTGTGCTTAAAAACATTCTAGCTTACTACAGTTGTGCTAGATCAGTGAAACCTGTTGCGAGACTTCAGTGCTATGGTGTAGTTTACTTCATCTCACAGAGAATTTACTTAAAACTATAGATAATGTAAAACAATCATATCTATCTCTAAAAAGTAGGTGTTGTGACTTTGAGTGCATGCTGATATTAAATCATATATGCTCCAACAAAAGTCATTCGGATTAATGTCTCTTGAATGTGAGCTGTCCACTGTAATAGGTCAGTATTTTCCTTTCTGTCTTCAGGAGAAATTTTTCTCATTTTAGCAGGACAATAGGTTCAACTTTGCAATTTTATTTTATAGGGGAAAAGTGCGAGATTTTGCAAGATATGAACAGACACCTGGAAGCCATACTGAAAGAGAAGAGGGATCTCAGAAAGAGGCTGATCAAACACAGATGTCAAGAAAGCCTGCCTATTGAGGCAACTTATCACAAGTAGGTACACAGAAAATAATTTTTCTTGTTTACAGGAGGCCAAATTAATTTGAACTAACAGACAGTAAAAATCATGTTTTCAGTAATTTTCCACTGATAAGAAGAGACATAAAAAATCGTACCAAAACCTCAGCTAAAAGCTGGTAGTTTACTCATTGATAAGTTCATAGAAAGGTAATGATATATATTTTATGAGTATTTACTTAGGTTATTGGTCTGGTCTTTAAAAGTCTACAGAACAAGTTGTGATGTATTGTTTTAAATAAATGTGCTACATGCTGGATTTGTTATGCTTCTCCCAAGCAGGAGTTGTTACTTTAGCACTGGGTGTCTTCATTGTGCTGTTGTTTGCTTGGAACTAAACGTGTCTGATTCCCAGACATGCATAGTCCTTCTTCTTACAGTCTAAAAATTTAGCCCAGGTACTGAAGGAATTCACTTCCGTAATTCCTGCCCTGCTTGTTGCTAAGAGTCATACAAGAAATGTAATTGCAGAAAAATTAATTAGATGTTTAGGAACTTGCATAAAGCTGTAAAAAGGGACTAAGAAAAGCAGGGCAATGAAAAAGAACTTATAAGTATTAAATTCTTGCTGTTTAGCACAACTGTTGAGCTCATTTTTGGTTACAGGTGTGTAGTAGAGTTGTTGACTGAGGCAGTAACTTTCATTGAGAAGCTTGAAAGCCATTTGCAGGCTGTGAGAAGCATCCCTCAGATACCACATATGATGAACAATATGGTGAGTAGTAAAAGAATTGAGCCAGTTGTCTTCTCCAGCATGAAAAATGCAGTGCTGTTTGGTTGCTTAGGTTACTTTTATGTCTTGATAGACTGACAGGATGTATAGAGACTAAATCCAAGCCTTTTCTGTTTCAGGATACCACTTTGTCAAAAACAGAGGTGCTCATGATAGAATTGGAGGAGCTGACAGAGCAAATACTGAAATGGGAAGAACTGCAAAAGGAAGTGTATTCTAACAATGTATGCAATACTGCTGACTTGGACTTTGGCTTATCTTTAACCTAACCAATCCTTTTCCTCAAATAGGATGACTACTCAAAGAACTACATTCTTAGGGTCTTCTGTGAAAATTGCAACATAGGTCTCTTAATCCAACAGAGACTTTGTAGGTAGTTATAGTTCTGTTATTAAGTAACAGTTCTCCAACTATTTACTAAAAAAAGGGCAATGAGCAGTAACTCCTAATAAGACAGGGTACTCAGAAATCTGTTAAAGAGTTCCTTTCTGAAATAGTTGGATAGGAGTCCCTTGGAGCCGGTATCCTCAATGGAAAATAGTTTCTTTTGTTTTTTTCTTTTTTTTTTTTTTTTTTTTGCACTTACTATAGTATCTTTATTCATTTTTGTAAGCATCTTGATAAAACACTGTATTTTGTATGTTGCCGTAAAACTTTAATAAAAGCACTAGATTTCAAAAGCTCAGTTTCTTGCTTTTAATTTTGTTAAAAAATCCAGTAATTAAAATTACAGAGCAAAATCTTTGGCCCAAGCTTATGCTTCTATAGGAGTTCCAATCAAGAAATTTAATTAGTTTTAAATTACATTTTTTTATGACTGATGTGGTCTTGTGGGAAAGCAGGAAATGTACTTGCTGATATATGGCAAGTCTACTAATTTGCAAACCATACTTCAATGGTAGTGATAAATATATTCTTTGGATCCTCTTTTTTGTTGTTTGCCTGATTTTCAGTGTCCCACTTAGAATAAAACTTGTTCCATGAGTAAGATTGGTAGTTTATCATAACCATTGATTGTCCCAGTTTGTAACCCTCATAAAGAGACGGGTTGGTAGAATGTCACTGGCAGGACATCTGTAATCCAAGATAGTTGGTTGTCTTTGGAGAGTGCCCAGTTTTGTATTCAGGATGCTGAGCAGACTGAAGTGGTGCAGATGTATTCCTTTCTACCTTTGTATCATTTGTTATGTGAACATCCCCCTGTTGATTTCTGTTGCTGAAACAAGAGCATAATGCTTTCTTAAAGTAACCACTGGGTGGCTCAGTACCACCAAGTTCACAAGTTTATCTGATTATTGCGTATAAACTTAAAGCAGAATTAAGGAAGAAATCTTTGGCTCTTTGTTGAGCACACTCTGTTATGACCTACTTGTATTTGGTCTATTTTATATTTGAACTTCTGTGAGAATCTAATTTTAATCTTTGTAACCATTCTGCAGAGTGTGAATGCAAGACATCCAATTTAACAATTCTCTAGCATACTGTGTAAGCTATAGCTGGTGTTCCTTTGCTGCTGCTGAGAAAAGTTAAAAGGATAGAAACAATTTTAATTAGGTTTAAGCAAAATGTCACTAGGTATAATCTAAGAATATAAACTGGTGTTTGAGTCCCACAAGCATTAATGGGGTCTTTGTGTCAACACTTGCTATACATCATTACAGGATTTGAGTCCTAAGTCCTAGGTTACTGTTGTTTCAGATGTGGAAATGAAGGTCTTCCACACAACTGCAGAGAACCTGACCTTTTTAATGAAAATGCACATTCTGTGACATGGGAGAAAACAGAATAATAGGTGATCACAGGTTAGACTTGATGAGCTGAGTATTTTCTAACCTAATTGATTCTATGTTTTTTGTGAATCAACGTCCTCTACATCTATTCTAGGCTTAGTGTCTCACTCTCAATGTCTTACAGTGATGATTTAGATTAGGCACATTAAAGCTGTTTAATTTAATCATTTTAGAGCACAATGAAAACATTGTAGTCAGTTTGTTCATTGTAACTCTGAAATACATGGTTTTGCCATATCCCAAAGAGTTGAGCATATTTTCTTTTACTGTATCTACTTTTGAAGAGTTGACTGTGGAGTTGGTAGAGTTTAGCTGATTGCCATTTGTCAGTGATGTGTCAATTAATTATTTAGTGTGATTTAAAGGTATAAATCTATTGAAGCATACAGTGGTTCACAGTTTGTAGGTATTCATTTTAGCATGTCTGTGGTGAATGGAGTATTGGGTTCCAAGGATGGAACCAATTCTTCACTTGGGAAAACTTCTGAAATGTGGTACCTTCTTCATTTAGATAAAACATTTCTGGAGTTTAAGGCAAGCCGTCTCATGAAAAGAACTATACTTAAAGTACAAAAAAACAGTTAAAATAAATTTAAACAGAGGTTGTTTAACTATAAAAACAACATAGGACTCTAAAACTCTCATATATGATATTCAGATATAGCTCAGTTTATCATATTTTGAAATGCAAAACCAGAAGTCTACTTAAAAATTTGCATTTGCATTGGCAAATGGAATTGCCAAAATTAAACAAGACTTGCCTATTGACCCTGGCATCTTCTTTATGCCAATGCTACTCGTTCTTGCATCTTCCTGTAACATCAGTAGCTTACAGTGACAGTATTCTAAAAGAAATTTTTAACAAACTTTCCGTAATTTTTGTATTGCCCTAAGTACAAAATTTTAGTCAATGCACCAGCTACATATTGATTTCAATTAAAGTTCTTTGGAAGTTTCAAAATTTCCTTTTAGATTCTAAGTACAACCCACATGAAGATTGGATGTTTCCAAAGGAATCTAAAATACTTGAGACCTTTCCTGTAGCACTAGTAAGGAAGGGATACTTGCCTTCCCTAAATTCCTGTCAAATTAATGTGGAGGGCTTACAGTGCTCGGCCCTAGTGATGCCTTAAGAGCATCACTCTTAATCGCGCTGGCATTGAACGCTTGGTTTGCTGCTGCAAAAAGGAATTTGAGGAGGAGCGCGGGATCACCGTCTCTTTCCCCGGGGTGCCGCTCCCGGGGCAGACCTGTCTGGCGGAACAGCGCGGTTTGGATGCTGGAGAGGCTGCGCACGGCTGCTCTGGGCAGGCTTTGCCCGAAACGCCCGCTCTCTGCCCGGGGGAGTTTCCGTGCCTTCCCTCCGCGGGTGCTGCCTGGGCCGGGCTCTCTCCCGCCCTGCCCTCCGCCGCGGGGCGGGCCGGGCCGGGCCGGGCCGGGCTGGGCTGGGCCGGGCCACTCCGCTCCTGCCGCTCCTCCCCGTCCCGGCCGGGCCGCGGGGCCGGGCGCGGGCGGCCGCAGTGCTGGGCGTGAGCCGAGCCATGGCCAACGTCAAGGTGGCCGTGCGGGTCCGGCCTCTGAGCAAAAGGTGCGGCGGGGCGCGGGGGGCACGGGGGGCTCTGGGGCGCGGCCCGGGGGCGGTCGGGTGCTGCGGGTCCTGTCAGCCCGGCGGGATCGCCGCCCGGGAGCGGCTGAGCCGGGCTGAGGGAGGGACGGCGGGAGGGGTGGCAGCCCCTCGCCGCCCCACTAAATAGCTCGGAAAGTTTGCTTAGAAAAGTCTCCCAGTGGAGCTGTTCGGCTGACTTCTCTCTTCCTGAGCTCCCCGAAACAGGACAATTGTCACACAGTGTCCGGGAGTCTTCCCTTCCCCTTCTGTTGTTGCTGTTTTTTCCAGCGGGAGGCAGAGCCGGATATTCCCATTGTCGCTCAGCTCCGCTCCCTCCCCGGCTTGCTTGGCTCCAATGGAAATCCCAAAAGCTACATGTTACAGCTGGAAAACAACTCCCACAAACAAGAAGATGCCGTAGCACAATGCTCTGGTGTTATTTGTATATAACATGTGCTTAAAACCTTGCAGGCTTTGGAAATTCGGAGCGGAAAAGAAAGAGAAAAAGCGTGCAGCCCCAATGTCAGCAGCTGGTAATTTAGTCCTCGTGTTAAAGAAATGCTATAGCACTCCAAACAGGAATGATTTGGAAAGTGGTACAAGCTCTAAGGGCCAGTATTTGATTTGATGCTGCCTTTCTTTTTGGCACGAGTCCCTCACGTTTTCTTCTGACTGCATGGAGTTTTGTGATAAATAACTCTCTCATGCAGTAGAGAAAATTATTCTTGAAGAGTTGCCCAGCCAGAAAACTAGCCTAGTCATTTAGCCGGCAGTACACTAGCATATTTTGGAGTCTTTTGTTCTTATTTGGCGATGCATTTTTTATTTTATTTTCAAAAAAGACACTAGAAAGTTTTGAATGAAATTTAAAATCCCAACCAAAACAAACCTGCAAATATTAATAGAAAAGGGAAATGTGCAAACTAATTTACAGGTTTTCAACACATTTTTCCTTTAAGTCAAAGTTGACTGATTTTAAAAATACTCTGTCCATAATTTTGTTTAAAATCATACTTGGGTTATATAGCTCTGATTTGTTGTACCGCAATGAATGGAACAGATTTTAATAGATACTGGCCTATTTTAAGAAGAGTTGCAGCATTGAAGTAAGCTAAGTTTAATCTTTTATTGCTTGGTGTTGCTTTAGTCGTGGATATATTAGTTGATTTTTATCATTACCTTCCCTCTCACTAGATCCTGCTTGGTGAGGAATGTTGCACTAGATCTCTCTTAAGGTTTTTCTGGGGTGGGATGCTTTAAATAGAAAATAATAGTGAATATGTCATTATAGAAATAAACAGCACCTGTAACTGTCCGATAAGATGTGATAAACAGGAAAATCTTTGGTGTAGTCAGTGTGGGCCAGCTATTTGGTGAATGTAGTTTGGAGATGAGGATAGGATTAGAGAGGTGGGCAGGTTCCTGCACATGGGAGGAATTAATCTGAGGCTGAAACAGAAGTATTTGTATGAAGGTGAGAGTGGAAACTCAGGGGCTAATGGAAAGAGAAATTGTTAATTAATTCCATCTGCTCAGCTCATGACGGTGTCACAGATGGGATGGGAAGGGAGGCAGAAACCATTCTTATGGTGTTTGACCTCAAAGGCAATAGGCCAGTTGCTCCTTCTACTGTGCTGCCTCAGCTGAGGTCAGCAAAATCATTTTAAGATGGATTTTTATATTTCATAAATGGGAAGAGGAAGTGGTTGTATATTCTCTATGAAGGCTCTGACATGAGAACTTGCTGTCTAACCTTGAACAAAATTGTTCAAATGTAATGACTTAGAGGCAAATGCCAAATATATGAAGTCTTCGAGTAACCTTGATAGATGTGGAAAAAAATTCTCAGTGGGCTTAAAGGTCTGCTCTCTTCCAGCTTCTTATGCTATTTTCATACTGTCCTCACACAAACCTCTTGCCATCTCTATACACACCGTCAGCAACTGGCCTAACAGGGTACCCATATTGTCACAGCTTCTAATATCTTTTAGGTGTTTTAAAAAGGGAGACTTCCTGCAGCAAAAAAATTTCAGTTCAACTGGATTGAAGTATTGTAATTTGTATACTCTCAGTTCTAGCCAAAAATACTAAACCTGGCTTTTAAGAGCACCAGAAATTAGAAAGCTCCAGGAAAAAGCTAGAACTTATGGGTCAGTTGGTTGTTTCTAGACTACCATGCAAACTTCCTCATTGCTGCTGTTCATTTAATTTACAATGGCAGATGAGCACTGGTTTTGCATCTGAAAAATTACTGAAAATTCAGACGTTAAAAAAATGTTAAAGT